TGACTCTCTCATCATTGATGTTTCTCTCTCTCTCCCTCTCCTTTCCTCTCTCTGAAATCAATAAAGATATATTTTTAAAAAATAAAAAAATAAAAGTCATCAGAGAAATACAAATTAAAGCTATAATTGAATACCACTACATACACTTGAATTTAAAATATTGACACTTGTTAACACCAACTTAGTAAGAATGTAGAGCAACTGGAATTGTTATACTTTACTGATGAGAGTGCCAACTGGACAATCCACTTTGGAAAACTGGTAATATCTATTAAAGCTGAGTCTATACCTTATGACTTAGCAGTTTCATCCTTAGGTATAAACCTGACAGGAATGTCTACATTCATGTGCCAAAAGTCATGAACAGATATGTACATAGCAGCAATGTTCATTAAAGCCAAAAACTGGAAACAATGCAAGTGGCTGTCAACAGTATAATGAATAAATAAATTATGACCTATTAATCAATGAAATGAATGAATGTGATGAGATCTCACAAACATAACATTGAGAAAAAGCCAGATTCAAGAGATAACATACTATATGATCTCACTTGCATAAAGTTCAAAAAAAAATGGCAAAAAAAAAAAAAGTATGTAATACCCCGGATATAATGATTACCTTTGAAGGGAGGGGTAGGAGGTACAAGGGGTACTCTTAGGGTTCCAATAGAGTTGTGTTTCTTGATCTGGGGGGGGTGGGTTACATCAGTTGTTCACTATGTGAAAATGTATTGAGTTGCTCACAATAATGTATGCATTTTTCTCTATATATGTTATTCTTGATAAACCACTAACACACCTTAACTATAACCAATCCTGTGACTTAGAAGCAATGACTACAGATGGCAGGGGGAGAGGCTACACAAAGGTAGTGTATTATATGCTCTAGGTAAAACATGTAATCCAGACATTATAAACAATCCTGAGCTAATTCCTAGGTTATTGTTACGTGAATATTCTAAAACTATTTAAACAAAATACTGGATTTCATACTTCACCATTCTATACTTTGTATAGATGTTAAGTATAGGAGTAAGCTATAAGATCACAAGAGACCATAAATAATCACTATGAGACCACCTTTGCTGGATCTCTACAGTTCTACCCACATACCACCTTTTCTTTCACCATCCTCCCCTAATACTTTCCAGGTCCCATCTTCCCCAGGCAAGTTCTTTAGGTAACCAAATGCCCACATTACTTATCCCTTCAAGTTTCTAAGTAAAGCCAATAAAGTCAGTAAAACAGAATAAAACAGAACCCTGTAGTAAGCTACATAAGTTACACTACATCTTCATTAGAAGAAATTTTCTAAATTAGTCTCAAAATTCTTGAAAATATGTCAGTAAATACATATGTGTACAAATATCCTCTACTTCAATATTTTTTTTTCACTTTTCCAAATACTTTAAATTTATCATTTGCTCTTCATTTGGCCTTTACATTATGCCTTTTGAAAAGAAAAGCAACAAAAACTCTTTTAAATACATTTCTAGAGTCATACAGAGTTGCTTGGATCAGAATTCATTCTCCTGATGCTTCCACTCCACCACTGAGCTAAAATTCCTTCCAAGATTTGGGAACCTGCTCTCACTATCACTGGCTCTGCTATCCATGGGGTGAGCACGGCCATTCCCCAAATTCCAGAACCATTTGCATTTTCGCTGCTTTCCTCCCACACTCAAGTGGTGGTGGCTCAGTTTGGCAGTTTGTCAAAAAGAATCAGAATGTAAAGCACTTGGTGATCTTTAACCAGATGTATTTGTTGTACATTAGAGCATATGCCATGTACGTGTTTCACACATTGTAACAGAACATAGTGAGGAATATACTGCATAATCAGAATCTAATCAAATAGATCCCATTTTATGAAAGAAACAATATCAGAACAGGATTCATATTCCAAACCAAAGACATGGCAGTGAAACCATAACCTGAGAGTCATTTTTCATGACAGCAAAGATAAAACCATTATAAAATTTTATAATATAAAGTGACAAATGATGCAATTTCTTTACTCATAACATTTATCAGGTGTCTGTTCTATGTCAGGCATTGCTCATAAAAAATAAATTTTAAAAAATGAGGTGGTACTTGCCACCCTCAAGGAATTAAGAATGAAGATTTACTGAACAAGTTAGTCAATGTTTGGTGCATGGGGTGCTAAATTCTATGAAAGAGAGATGCTCAGAATCTCCGGGGGCACAGAACAGAAGCATCTAAATCAGCGTCGGGGGGGTTCAGTAAACATGTCCCAGAAAAGATGACTCAGGCTGAGCTATGCTATTAAGAATCGGCTGAAAGAGAAGAGCACTCCAGGTGACAAAGGCATAAAGCAACATGGACCAGTCGAAATACTGAGAGCCCCTGTCTGGAGGAAAGTTTGAGAGGGGACTGAATCAGGAGATGAGAAGGGAGAGAATGGTAGAAGCCAAATCATGAAATGCTGTGGGAGCTAGATTTAAAAGTTTCAACTTTATCCAGAAAGATAGCCCCCCTAATCCCTCAAAAACGACTAAAATGGACTTTAAGCAGGGAAGTAAAGTGAGTATATTTTCCTTTTTAAAAGATATATTTGGCCCTGGCTAGTGTGGCTCAGTTGGTTAAGCATTGTCCCATGCACCAAGAGATTGCTGGTTCAATTCCTGGTCAGAAGGGGGCATGAAGGAGGCAGCCAATCAATGTTGATGTTTCGCTTTCATCCATGTTTCTCTTTCCCTCCCCCTTCCTCTCTCTCTCTAAAAAATCAATAAAAACATATTTTTAAATAAAATTAATTTATAAATAAATAAATAAATAAATAAATGGTATATTTGCTTTGGTATGGGCCAAGGCTAATGCAGTAATCCTGAATTTGGGTGGCAACATTATAAATGGAGAGGAGGGAACAGATCTGAAAGGCAAAAGATCGAATTTGTTGAACTTAAAAGATTAATTGGAAGAGAGGGTATGATGAAAATGAAGAGCCTAACTGACTTGATAACTAAGTGGGTGATGGTACCAGGGCACAGAAGACGGGACAAAGGTGGTTCTGAGGCAGCAGGGAGGAATGATGGATTCACTTCAAGTTATCTTGGACATTATGTTTTCTATATATTGTCCAAAGAATCCCTAGAAAGTATAAGTCACATGTGAAGTATATAACAACTAACTCCCCTGTATTAGACCTAAAGTTTATTATGGCAATTACATTCATTTTCATTACTTAACTAGCAAAGATATTCTGATTTTCTTAAAGTTATGTTGGGGGTAGGAGGAGGGAAATATTTGAACAGCCAAAGTCTCTTTTACAAAGTGGAACAGGAAAATTTAAGTTCCCTGTCCTCTCAGAGTATTTCCTTTCAAGCTGATGTAGAAAATCACCCTATTGACCAAAGACTATTGAGCCGTTTTTTCAAAAAATAACCTGCAAATGAGACCTACATTCATTAGAAAACGATTACACTCTAAGTAATGATAGTGAAATATACATTCATTATGTATATTTGAATATATACATTCATTATGTATATCGAAAGTGAAATATACATTCATTATGTAATATTAACATAGCAATACCATGAGTTATGCATAGTTTGTATAAAACCCCTTTTTTTAAAATTTAGGAAACCTAAACCTGCAGAAATTGAAAAAATAAAAAAATGTACCGTACAGGTGGTCAGAAACTTATTTCCAACTGTTTACAAGGAACTTGATAACTTACTCATGTCTGGGAAAATATGTTTTCAGCTTCACTGGTTATTTCTCGTTATATTCGATGACCAAAACAAGGTACACTCCTCTTTGCTTATTGTGGATAAACTGTGACATGGTGAGGGGGAGAAGTTGCCTGGAGGAACTGAACAACTAAAGGGAGGAACCCAGGAGTGGGCCTCTGAGCCTTGGAGCTGTTTAATGAGCCACGCTGGCTCCCACAGCTAGCTCCTCGGAGCTCTACAAGAAACTCATAAACTCAAGTCAGCAAAACAAAACACTCACAAATCTCAGTCGGTAGCTAACACCCTAAGCCACGCAGTCTGCTCCTGGCCGGGTTAGAGTACTCACTTTCTTTGCGTACTTCCTCCAGTGTGGCAGTCAGCTCGTCCTTTAACACGGTGGCTTCCTGGGCGATCTTCTGTCCCTTGTCTAATAAATTCCGAGTTGCTTCCTCCACAGAAGCTAGAAGAACTCTGGCTCTTTTTGAACATCCTTTTTTCCTGTTAGAAGGATTCTGGGGACAATTTACAAGTGTAGTGACCTAAAATTGGAAAAATACAAGGCACTCATTAGACAAATTGTGAGGAGAACACAGTCCTGGGATATCATGGCCCAGAACAAAAAACAGAAAGTGTGTCATAGAAACACAGAGCAGTCCTATTGGAGAACCGGCGACAGTCCCCTTACAGAAAGATGAAGCGGCACTCGGAGACCCGGGGTTCAAGAGGTTTATTTTACACCTGCAGCCCAGAGAAGTCCAGCTCCAAAGTCTGAGCCCCAAGCACAGTGGGGAAAGGAGTTAGATACCGCACCTGCTTCGCCTACATGGCAGCTATATCTTGCTTAGGGCGGGGAAAAGCCCTTTCTGGTTTGGTGCATGTGGGAACATAGCAGGGTGGCACTAGGGGAAGCCCGGGGGGTGGGGGGGAGCCTGTGGGCCATTTTAGACCGAGTTTTCCCTTATCATCCCCCCTTTGATGTCCCGGAGGCGGCGAGCCTCAGAGGGCACCATTAAAGTCATCTAGTGGCCGATACCCTTGCAAAGCTAGGACCATGGCTGTGGTTAGGCGGGAGACTGAATTTTCAGTGAACCTCATTCGTAGGCTGAGGAGGCAAGGACCTATTGTGACAAGGAGGGCAATGGTGATGAGTGGCCCCTCGAGGGGGAGTAACCAGGAGGTTCACTGCCCTTGTCCCCACCATCCCTGGCAGTTTCTTGCTCCCTCCGTTGTTTGATTCTCTCCCTGAGTTCCTTTACTTTGGTAACTAGTATTCCTGACTGATTTGCAAAGTAGCAGCATGCCTCTCCTAAGAGAATGCATGGTGCCAGGGTGCAGTAAATAGTAAACAATACATCTCTAGCAAGTAATGTCCAGTCAGGAGGGGCTGTCGCAGCAAATCCAAGTCCAAGGATCAGGGTAATGAGTACGGCTGCAACGAGGAACCAGAGGTCTTCTATGCTCATTGGGTAGCTGCCCGCCTTAGCTGGATCTTGAGGGGGTCACCTGGCTCTCCAATCCTCCAAGCGCTCCTCCTCAGGAATGTCGTGGGCTTTCTTGACTCGGGAATGATGGACCCCCGGAGTGATACCTGTAACTTTAAGGGCAGTGGAGAATGGCTACTTCCCTTGGGAGCCAAACAGCTTCTAGAAGTTTTAAGATTTCTGCTTTATTCTTAATAGTTTTTCCCGCTGTTGTGAGGAGGGCTCTTTCCTCGTAGATGGCCCCATGTATGTGGACCATGGCAAATGCATAGTGGGAGTCAGGGTAGATGTTAACCCACTTGCCTTTGCCAAGGGTTAGGGCCTGGATCAGCGCCTGCAGTTCAGCCCTCTGTGCTGACCACCTGGCAGGCAAGGACTTTGTTTCTAAGATCTCTTCAGACGTGGTTACTGCATATCCAGCCTTGCGGACACCTTCCTGGAGATAGCTGCTGCCGTCACAAAACAGTGTTAGCTCCGGGTTTTGGATGGCCTGGTCCCACAGGTCCGGGCGACTTGCACAGACCTCATCAGTCGCCTCCGCGCAGTCATGATCTGGCTCGCCTTCCTCTGTGGGGAGGAAAGTGGCCGGGTTTTACGTGCGTACAGTCTCCAGGCTGATGCAGGAGTTCTAGCAGAGTAACCCCTGATATTGAGCTAGGCGGGAGTTTGAGAGGAACTGATGCCCTTGGCTGTTCATGAGCGACACAACGGAGTGTGGGTTCTTGATAATCAACTCCTGTCTGAGGGTGAGTTTGTCAGCTTCCTTGATGAGGAGGACGGTAGCTGCTAGGGTGTGGAGACAGGGCGGCCCTCCAGCGGCTGCTGAGTCCAGTTTCCTAGACAGGTATGCAATGGGCCTTTGCCACGGGCGGACAGGCTGTGTGAGTTTCCCTAGAGCTGTCTTGTCCTTTCCGTGGACGAACAGGTTGACTGTCTCTCAATGTCAGGCAGTCCCAATGCAGGGGCTTGTCCAAGGGCTGATTCAATGCTCCGGATGCCTCCTCTGCCTCCTCTGTCCAACACAGAGGGCTCCCATGGGGACTGGCTAAGGCAGCGTTTATTGGGACACTCATTTGCCCAGGGCCCAGTCCCCTTGCAAGAGGCACACTGGTCTGATGACAGTGAGGTCCGTCGATTCCCCCCTTCGGTGGGCGAGTCTCCTTTTGCCCCCTTTATCCCTCCTGTCTGAGGGCCACTGCTAGGAGGCTGACTTTCTTCTTCATCTTGTCAGCTTCCCGCTCAGCGGCGGCTTCTCTGTTCATGTAGACTTGGTTGGCTGCTTCTATCCATTGGGTGATATTCATGCCGGCAAAACTCTCCTGTTTCTGGAGTTTTCTCCAGATGTCAGGGGCGGCCTGTGCCATGAAGGTGGTGTTGACCATTTGCTGGCTCTCTGGTGCCTTGGGGTCAAAGGGCATATAGATCCTATGCCTCGCAGAGCCGCTCGTAAGAGTCCCCAGAGGTTTCCCTGGCTGCTGTGTTAGTGAAGAGACTTTGGCCATGCTCATTGGCTTTTTTGCCCCCCTCAAATTCCACACAGGATTCCTGGTAGCGCCGGCTGTAGCCCTGGCCCTCCTCAGTGGTGAAGTCCCAGTTGGGGCACTCCTCGGGGCCGCCCTTAGGGCCCACCTTGCAGGACCGTTTGCCTCTGTGGAGGCGTTATCTTCTTGCCATTGACGGCCCCCCTGGTAATCCGACGCCTCTACTCCGTGTTGAACAGGGTACAGAGGAGCTGCTGGCAATCTTCCCAGGGTGGCCGTGTGTCTGGAAGAGGGATTCCTTGAGGTCTGTCATGGCCTGCGGCTTCTCGGAATACGGCGGGTGTTATGCTTCCAGTTGAGGAGGTCCACGGTGGAAAAGAGCTGGAAGTACATCATGGAGTGGCCAGGTTGGACGGTACCATCGTCATTCAGCCTCAGGTTCTCGAGCCTCTCTGGCATCTGGAGGTCTACTTGGCGTGGGCAAAGTCTCCTAGCCCATCCGGGTGTGGGAGGGCCATCTCCTCCTTGGGGTGGAGGTGACACCGATGGTGGTAGAGTATTAACATCTGGCACCAGAGGGGCCCTACGTTCTCCTCTGGGATGGGGGGGTGGCCTGATGGGAGGCTCATCTTCCTGGTCTCCCACAAAAACTCGAGGGGTCTGTTTTTCTTCAAGCTGAGCAACGAAGACCTTGGCCTCTCCCTGCCTATTGGTGCAGAACCAGACCCAAGGGGGGAGCATCTGCGCTATTTCTAACCAGGAATCTTTGTAAGGAAACTGGTCTGGGTGGCCCGGGTTTCCCGTGACAACTTCCAGACCCGGCAGATTGCGGGGACATCCAAGGTTCCCCCCAAGGGCCAACCGACCCTGAAGGTGGTCCATTCAAGTTCGCACAGAGTGGGAAGAGTGCCAGGAGTCATTCTGATGCCACAGTCCCTGGAAAAGCCCTTCTCGAGGTTTTTCAGCATACAGTCTAGGACGGTGGGCTCTCCCTGACATCCTCCCATGTTCCCGAGTACAGTGCCGGATACAGACAAAGGGGGGGGGGGCCCGGAGGGACCTTTCAGATGCCCGTCTGCCCGCTGCCTCGGGGACTTGGGCCGGCCTTGACCAAGGTGCGCCCTGTAATCCCGGCCTGGTCAGTGAAGCTGTCACCGTTATGTCCTTGCTGCCGACTATGGATACGGGCTGGCGCCCACTCAGAGCCCGGGGTAGCGCCGTGGGAGGGCACCCACGGTCACTCACAGTCACTCTCACAGTCACGCAGAGGTTAGGACATTCCCTCCCTGGCTGGCCCCACCTGGGGACCACTCGAGGTCCCTGGGAGGTGATCAGCTCGGGGCGGGCCTAGCTCGCCGGCCGGGGCCTTACCGAGTCCCACGCCCTGGTCCCGGTCCTGTCCCGCCTCGCCTCCCGGAGTGCGGTGGGACCGCGGCGCGGGCGAGTGGAGGCAGCGGGATGGGAGGCTGCCAACCAGGGCAGGGCGCCTTCTCCTTGCGCCTCCCCCTTGTCCTCCGGCCCCGCGCTCGCTCCCAAACCGGTAGCTGCGCGGGGCCAGCGCGGTTGGGCTTCCGGGTCAGGGAACCAAAGTGTTGCGGAACCTTAAGGTCCCCTTAGGGACAGGCCAAGCGGCACTCGGAGGCTCGGTGCAGGAGGCTTACTTCCCGCCCGCGGGCCCAGGAGTCAGCTCCAAAGCCTGAGCCCGGCGCAGCCCGCAGGGAAACAGGCGCCGCGCCCGCTTCCGCCCGCTGCGGGAGGGC